TCGCTGAATCGGGTTTTGAACAAAGCGGCACAGCAGCTCCACTTCTGTGCTTGGCTAAATCTATATATTACGATATACAGACAGGAGGTGTGCGTACTGGAATCATCAACGTCAGGCTTCTAAATGCGGTTATCACAATGACATGTAACAAACAAGAAATGCAATTGCCATGCATTCTACTACAAGGAGCTGAAGCTGTCATATCCGTGGTTCGCACTCGCCGATCTTTTTTTTTACCTACAACCAACAAGAGTAGGAACAGTCCCAAATTGCGCGGAGCGTAAACCGGGAGAAAGAAGCCCGATTTTAATTACCCGAGTGATCCAATTCTTCCTTTATTATCTTACAAAACTATTTACATATATAAAAGACAAAAAAAAGTAATTGAAAGAAGTATTCTTGCATTATATATATATATATATATATATATATATATATATATATATATANACGAAAGCTTGATCGCTTCTAAATGAAAAGAAGACCCATGCAAAATAACATTAAACTAAACAACGACTCCAGAGAATGCATTGATATAATTTTAAAACGTTCTCTGTCTGAGTATAGAGTTCATTTCGTTTTCGTGATCCACAACCGTTCATTTCTCAAAGTAGGAACAAATCGCACAGGTGTCTGAAATAATTTCGAATAACCGCTGGTCAGAATATTGACTTGAAAAGAGGAGCGTTAAAGTAAGGTTGTGAAAGTAATATTGCTCATGGCACAGTAAAATATACCCGCCTTTGCTGATTTGAACTTTACGACTTGCAAACACGCTGTGGGAAACCTATTGTTAATAACCAGGAGCCATAATCGGGGACGGAGACCGTAAGCCTTGGGATCCGCGCACACCTATGATATGCGACAATTTTTCTATTTTTAGAACAAATTGCGCCATCCTGACGTCATATATCCGCGCGGATCCACGCACATGTCAAGGGCTCTCGCGGGGACGTTGTCACGTTGCGTGATCAGATGGTGAGAGTTGAGAGACCTTGAGAGATTATCTTGCATATTTTTCACAGCGATGGCAGGGAATAAGGCAGGGAATACGAACTAGGGCGCTTATATGTAGTTTTACGCTCTGAGCTAACGGAAAAGGTGGGTTTTCAGGGTCGAAAATATGACTTCAATCTCGCGCTGGGAATGAATAATAAGATCTGCTTGCCCTAATTGTAAGCTTACGCGTATGTTTTTGTGTTTGTTCTGACTTAAGAATATAGCAAGAAAATTCTCTACTCTGGTATCGATCGAGTTAATTTGTGAGTTTCTCAGACAATGGTTAATCATAACCAAAACCTGTTTTGATGGTTTCCTATTGTTTCTGCTTGTTTGGTGAGTTTACAAAAGTTTTTGAAAGGAAAGTCTGACGGTTACAATTAGCTCATTTGCATAGTGCAGCTCGTGCACTTTCAAGTCCGAGTCGGTGTTTTCAATTGTCAACAAATCTTGACAAAGATTTCTTTCTTTATTTTTTGTGCTGAGATGCTGCAACAAATTCGTCGTCGGAACACAACCTGGTCAGCGATGTATATAAGCTTAAAGCGGAACATACCTAAATTCGACACTGTCTTACTTCACTCAAATTGGAAGAACTTACGACGAAAATACTTAAGAAAAATTCCAACAGACGTACACGCGTTGAGTTGTGGGCCAAAAACATGANACTCTTAGCTACTGCAATTAACATGTTTTAGTGCACCATAAAAACAAAAAATTGGACTATTCACTCATTGTAATCAAGGTGACTTTTTGTTAAAAATTTTCCTTAATTTGCGGATCATTTTATAGTCATGGTTAGTTTCGTAATGTATGTAAAATGTTTCCAGAATGGAACAAACCCTACCTCACGGCGCGCGTTCGACCTTTTTTTTTAATGCCCTCGTTTACTTTTAAGCCTTGCACTCTGCGAAGTCCTCATTTGCAAATGAAAATATCAACTTAGGAGTTTTTATTACAATTTACTTTTGGTTCCTCTACTCATAAATAAAACATGAGCTTGGTTTTAGTCAATCTTGGCGAAACAGAAATGTGTTTAAAAATACTTTAAGTGTAAAATAAGACCAGCTTAACTGGACATCTTTCTCTTTGTTATTTTTGTTTTTATTTCCCAGAACTTTGGTTGATCTTTAATATATTGCTTTGTATCATGCAGTGTTCGGATGTGAAATACATCAAAATTCACATAGGGGGTATGCATAATTCATAGGTCGCCTAAATTGACGAAAATTAGTACATTTTTGCGAGGGGGATTTTACTGAGGGCTATACCGATATTGATCACCAGTTTTCGAGCCGCATATGTAGTGGAAGGTAAATTTATTTTGCATGGCAAAACATCGCGTTTGTTCATGCAAGTGGCAACGGCAAACATTCCTGTCGAAATGAACACAAACCGCACTGAAATAAACATGCAATCGACAAGCAGCGATTCACTGGGAATGGTGCATCACAACGGTTTGAGGGTTGAATCGTATTTTCAAGCGTCGGAGAACGAAACGGATACGGACAGTGATTCAGGCGCTTTCACGGCCGCTCATCGCCGCCGAAAATCCAACAACGAAGAAGGCGTTCGGTTATCAACCCCCGAACTGATTCGACATGCCTTCAACATTGCGGTCATAAAGGTAAGGGAAAGGGACTCGCTCTTTCAAAACTGTTTTGCTTGCTTACTCTGATCACTGATCTTGCGAATAATGATGTAATATCGTCGGCGACTAATAACTTTGCTCATTTCTTCCTAGATTCTAATCGAAATAATTTATCGCGGAGACTAAATTACAGTAGTTCGTTTCGCGAGCCCTGATATTTTCTTATTCAGTCACTAAAAAGCGAAGATCTATTTTTGTTGATTTTCAATCGCGCAGCCAAACATTGCACCTGCTAAAACCTGTTCAAAATGACGTACACTTGTAACTTCGTACGCAAAACACGATGGCCCTTTCCCAACTTATTTTGTTATTGGGCTATTGTTTAGAGCGTTTTCTTTATCACCTTTATTTCACTACCTCACCCATACGTATGTCATTATTGTTCGCATCAACTCTTTTATATATTGCTGCAGGAACAAAAACATTTTGGTCAAAGGATTTTTTACCTTATTTTCGCTCTTTTTTCACAAACCTTTACATTTGATTTCTGTAGCCACGTTTTTCTTATATATGGGTTTTAAAAAACAATACTCTTGATTCATATGATTTCTGTGGTCACGTTTTTCTTATGCATATGTTCTTAAAAACAATATTCTTGATTCATATTTTGCGTCAAAGAACAAAATATTTTTTTTCTACGTATTTTTGTTCATCTTTTTAATTCATGGGCAAGCTGAACTGATATTTATTACACGAGGTTTTTGCTTATGCCAGATCAGTTGTAACCGACACCATTGTCTGGAAAACTGGCGAATTTTATAGCCTCTATGGAAGGCTCAAGTCGTTTTATATTTTGCCCCCAACTCAGCCAGAACACAGACAGCACGAAACAGTCCGTTTTTCACGACACAAGGCCGCCACTTTCAAATATATCCACGAGATAAGATCCTTCAAATACGGTATTATTTGAAACTAACGAAAGGAACAGGCTCAATTAGCGAGAGAGTCTGTACTCAAAAAGACATAGAGACGTCGAGATGGAAAATTTGGCTAAAACGTTTACGTCCCCGAAACAATAGGCACTAACTAAATCATGCGGCGATCCTTGCTTTTGGCAAAATCAATTATGGAATTGTGCACCGGAAATTTTAATAACTAAAAAATATGAATATTTAAAAAAGAACGGGACTGAATAAGGTTATACACAGCATTTCGTTCTGTGCCGTCACTAATTTTATAAACTTGCTGTGTCCGAATTTACGCGAAAAGCAAAACATTTTTATTTGTTTTATTCGAATGCAATTGATTTCAAAATTATGCCCACTGTTACACCTGCGCGGCGAGCAATTGGGGAAAAAGAGAATTATTTAAAAGAAGGCTTTTTGGATACTTTAAAGCTAAACAATTCATTAATTCCGCATGCCGTGTTTAGCGTTATTGCTGCGACAAATAACTCGCTACAGAAACCATCTTGCCACAGGCTATGTTTCATTTTATTACATTCAAACTGAGATTAGCATTTACGATCATCGGCTTTACCAGTAACCGTAGCTTCAGATCATTTTAAATTTTTGCACAATTTGCTAAAATACGAGTCACAATGCATGTTTATAAGGATCAAAGTAAGCATGGGAAATATAAATCGTACAGTAAACATGTTAAAATACTCTGCAGGTCAAAGCTTGTGAATTTTCCAGTACATGATAATCCCCAGACCTTTGAGCATTTCAAGTAAAATGTGTTTGTTGTGTTAATGTAGGATATTCTGACACAGCCGAAATTAAATATCGTGTTTATCGATGACAGTAAGGCTTAGCCATTTGTTAGTATGATAATCATGTACTTTAGAAAATGCACTAAAATGCTATGGCTTAGGTATGATGAAAACTACCAGAAGAATATCACAAATATAAAATACAGGAAAATATTGGCAGTGAACCAAGTCTTACACAGTTTTTATTTACTCCTACAGTTATACTTGTCGTTATTTATCTCAATTTCAATTTTCAAGTTACTGTATTTCAAATGTGTAATGAAATACTATTACCAGATTATGGTCAGAAGACATATTTTTAAAAACGTTTGAAAACTGTATTTACCCATCGAACATAAAACAAAGAAGGCGAAGGAAGGTTTTTAAGAAACACCTCAGGTTTTCCTTGAGTTGAAGGGGCAGTGAAGCAATCTTATCGAATAACCCTTTTATATTTTATTGATAAGCACAATTTTCAAAGAAACACATATCGCAAGTTTAATGCTGGTTTTAAAGTTCGACTGTAGTCGTTTTTTTTAATTTTATTAGCGTATTTTTGAAGGTGGCATGAGCTGTCGATGTAGGAAACACGAGAATTGTTTCAGTTTACAGAATTTTCTCACCACTGGAGCAAGTGTCATGTAATGTTTCACGAGGTAGAAAAAAGGCCAATAAGACAAAAATATTTCAAAAAGAAAGAAAGCTTTGGTCGTTTGTCGGATCACTGTTTCCTGTTAAGTTGAATTTTTTCACCAAGGAAACTCTGTTTTGGCCTCACCGACCGACAGTTTTGGTTGAAAAAATTATTAACCAAACTTTAAAAGTAAGAGAGAAAATTAACCTCGCATTCTTATGAAATAATCAGGGGACTTTAGATTTGAGAGCGAGAACGACTTTTCAATTCTAGTTTACAGGCTTCGCATTATCACGTCACGTACCCATTTCATTCCATAAGCTACCCTCTGTACCTGAAACGAACATGAAGAGCGAGGGCTTTGAAGACGTCACTGGTTTGAAATTCGAAAATCGTACTCGCAATCAATGTCGTACTCGAAGTTTAATGCCATTCGGCGAAGAATGTTTTTGGCTTTATCGCGTACGCAGAGGTGTTTTTTAATGAAAGGTATAAACCTGGCGTGTTTTGGAGACTTGATCTGGGAATCTCTGACCCACTTGACTGATGTTGCATTTGTTTATATGTGGGATCACCCACATGGTACATTAGTGTCACAATTCAAGGGCCTATTAAACGAAGCACTTCACTGATAATAAACGTCATTCTGACTACCGTTGCATGACAACCGCCTTCCCAAAATAGGTTTGAGAGAAGACTTTCATGTACATGAAACCTTATTTCTTATTTTTTTGCTTGCTCGGATTAACTTGGTTTTACAGGAATAAATATTGCTCTTTTCCATTATTTTAAGAAGCACCGTGATCTTATTGCGTTAATTAAGCATCCAAGTTCTATGTGTTATTTACCCACCTAAAACAGGGAACAAATTATTAACACTCGCAAGGTTGTTTTGTTTTAGAAAATGTTTTAATGGTAGACCGTGGAGAAACATCAAAATTTGTTTCGCGCAACAGAGCTCGAGCAAGATAAAACGTGCCTGATGTTTGCAAAAATGGACGGAAGACGTTATTTGTTTCAGCACTTATTGACACTGTACTCCTATGTCATTTATGGTTGTCACTTTTTTGCCATCAGCAAAACAACATTGTTCAAACTGAGGCTCGATTTCTCAGCTCATCAAGTAATAAAGGGTTTATTAGTTACAATATTCAGACAGAACCTCTCCTCTGAAAGCGAGTTTCAGCTTCATACAGGTAGAAATTGGGGAAGGTGCGATATACAAAAAGCAATTTTGTTATGCTAATTTTTGTCAAACGAAAAGCACTTAAGATATGCAATTCTGATGTGCGAAAAGTAAATATGAAACTGTACGATTTCTTCATTGGCCAAGTGCATGAAAAATGACGTCCGTTAATTTCCGCTTAGAGAATATGTAGGACTTTCTTTCGAAAATTTCATGTCGAGAGTAAATTGCCTTCAACGAAATACACGCGAACTTTTCGGTGTTTAGCTAAGGGGTCAACGACAGCTTCTGAATCAGAATTGTAAAGAGGGAAAGAGAGAGGCAGAGAAACCCACGGAATCAAGATGTCAGGATTGGTAAAGGCTACAGCCAACACACTGAACGGATGCATGGAGGGATGTGCTGCGAGAGAGGAAAATTGGCAAACCCTGGCACATTTTGTACACTTTCGGGTATTTTATTATAAAATAACTGTTTTTCTAACACAGTACCAATGTTTGCGTTTAAAACAAGTAATAACATCTTGTCGATTTTTCATGTTGTCCGCTAAAGACAATCAAATGAGAGACCTTCTTTTCTTGCAATGAAGCATTTTTTTTCAATTCTGCTCAGTCACTGCTAGAAATTGTGATGTTAGAGGCGATTTTTTTTTTCTCTAAGAAGTAATTTCAGATTTTTTAAAATCATATTTGCAGTCTACAGTAATTTCACCGGGCAAGATGAGAAATTTATGTGTCGTTTATTATGTCAGCTCACGGTCGTTACTGAAAATCGCCCTCAAAACGTTTTTCTTTCCTCTCCTCGTGAGGTCATGATTTTAATTTACCATGAGAGATTGCCGGACTGGCAGGGAACATAAGAAATTAAGGGTTACATTTCGGAATTGGTTTTAATATATATTGGTTTTGATATAACCTACTTTATCTCACTGAGAATTGTTAGGGCTTATTACAGAAACAAGGCAAATTATTCCTTGAATTAAAATAAAAACCAGTTCAAATGAAAAAGAAATGGGATTTACATACATCAAATAAACATTCTGCGGAAGACAATAGAAAACAAATGCAATCAGTTTGAGTGAAGTATTTCATTTACGGGTAAAATTTGGGTCTGTAAGGATTTATTTTTCACATTACGGGAACTGATGTCCTTGATTGTTTTCTTTCATGAGTGAAGGATAACAGTGTTACATAAATATTTTGTAATCAACCGACTTAAAAATTCAAGTGATAGTGAGAAGTGCTAATAGCTGAAAAATTTCGTGGGTAATTTATGCTCGTGAATGTGTTGCTTCCGCAGCTGTTCTTTAATTATGCGTGACGATTTTACCGCCAAGTTCATAAATATTCGATTGCGAAAGAGAGAAACCAACAGCAATACTGAGGAAAGGCTAACTTTTTAACCTTTCCTCAGTATTGTTGTGGAATTTACAGTCACTGAAATTAGTTGAACTGACTTTTTATACAATGTTCGATTGTAAAACAAAAAACAAAAACAGAAACAACGACAACAACAACAACAACAACTTGAACAACAACAAAAACAGAAAAATTGCCATGAGTCCGGTTGAGTGATAGACTTAACGTTCGGAAGGGGAGGAAGGCGGCTTGTTATCGAATGAATTCTACCTGAAAATTGTTGGCTGCAGATGAGAATTCCACCCAGCTAGTTATCAAAAGCGAATAGAAAACCTACAAATATAGCGATATTATGAATAAGAATAAGTTTAACAGTGGTTGAACGAAGTCTAGACATTTCGCAACAAGGCAATCCTATGGCGGGAGTCCTTGATCAGCGGAAAATAACAGAATCTAATTGTTAATGTAAGCCTGGGCTTGTATGCAGGGCGGGGAGTTCGGAAGGAGAACCTTTGGAGGGTTTCGGGTGTTTAAGTTTCGGGGGTCTTATTTTCCTACAGTGGAAGGGCCCTGCTTTTACGTCAGCAAGTATAGAGTTTAACCTCAGTATTAAGCAAACTGTCGAGCCTGTATTTTAATTCACAGGGAAGAATCAACTTGCGATTTACCAACCGGGATCACCATGGAGGCCTTCACAAAGCTGTTCTTAATGGCAAAGAAAGTGACGTGGAACATCTTCTGTCCTCCGGAAAGGGTGAAACCTCTCATTATAGTCACTGTTATTCCATAACGTAACTGACCGTTGATTAACACATACGTAATATATTACCTAAGAGGCGATACGTGTTTCACTGCTCTGCGTGCTTGCGTGCATTTCTTGATATGGATATACAGCTGTTTCGAGAAAGGTTGTACAAAAGCCGGCGTAAAAGCGTACGCGACAATGTTTTTTTTAATGATACAAAACAAATTAAGAAACAATTACAATAGACGGTTTTCGACGCCATTTTGACGGGTAGGCAAAGCGGTCAGAAATTACAGTGTTTGTATGGGAATCCCATGGCAAATAACTTTTTCCAAAATTGAATTTTATACAATCAGGAGCCATTATCAGGGACGGAGACCGTAAGTCTTGGGATCCGTGCGCACCTATGATATGGGACAATTTTTCTATTTTTAGAACAAATTGCGCCATCCTGACGTCATATATCCGCGCGGATCCACGCACATGTCGGGGGCTCCCGCGTGGATGTTGTCACGTTGCGTGATCAAATGGTGAGAGTTGAGAGATTGTCTTGCGTATATTTCACAGCGATGGCAGGGAATAAGGCAGGGACTTAGAACCAGGGCGCTGATATGTAGTTTTATGCTCTGACCCAACGGAAAAGGTGGGTTTTTCAGGGTCGAAAACAAGACTTCAATCTCGCGCTGGGAATGAATAATAAGTTCTGCTCGCGCTAGTTGTAAGCTTACGCGTATGCTTTAATTTTGCGTTTGTTCTGACTTAAGAATATAGCAAGAAAACTCTCTACTCTGGTATTGAGACAATGCTTAATCATAATCGAAACCTGTTTTGATGTTTTCATATTGTTTATGCTTGTTTGGCGAGTTTGCAAACGTTTTTGAAAGGAAAGTCTGACGCGTACAAGTAGTCATTTGCATAGTACAGCTCGTGCACTTTCAAGACCGAGTCGGCGTTTTCAATTGACAAAGATTTGTTTCGTTATCTTTTGTGCTGAGATGCTGCAACAAATTTCACGAACGGAAAAAGGCTACTAACATCATGTGTATTTCTTCAACATAGTGAAATTTTGCACTGCGAAAATGAAAATAGACAAGGAGTTTTGATAACTCGATCA